TCCTCCTCCTCCTCCTCCTCCTCCTCCTCCTCCTCCTCCTCCTCCTCCTCCTCCTCAGTTTGTCCGTCTAGCGGCGAACTGCTCTCTCAACGAACAAACTCCCTTGGCATGCTTATCTCTCTATTTGGCCGATTTCTACTCTTTTCAGCCGCCTCCCCAAGCCTGGTAGAGGCTAGGGAAGGGACCCTAGCTACTCGCTTTGACAACGTTCTTTAACGTGCTCGAGGTGTAGCTCTCCTCAAACACGGGACCTCTATTTATCGTCCTATCCGAGGGATCGTTCTGTCAGTGCTACCGGCTTCCCTCAGGCGATGGTGTGACCATGCCGATATCTGCGGGACTGTAGGGCGGTTCGCTCAGCATACTGGACGGGTTCCTGTACCACCGCCACCACGTGGACGCCTCGCTCGTGTCCGTGTCGGTAAAGTTCCAGAGGTGTTTGGGTACGGAGTAGCCGGTGTGGACCGTGATGGTCCCGTGGAACAGTTCCACCGCTGGGTAGAGTCTCTCCGGGTAGCAGGCGCACCAGTACTGCATGTAGCCCTGCTCAAAGCGGATGTACATGGTGTCTAGAGGAGCCTTCCGTTCTGCGTCTTGGAAGATGAGCAGCCCCCGGTCAGAGTCGACGAGCACGCCGAGACGTCGTACAGGGAAGACGCCTTTCCACAGTCGCTTGTGCTCCCGACCCTAAGGTGGAAATAAAGAAAAAAAATGTTGAAGCTAGTCCCATAGCCTTTTCCAGAATATAGGGGCCCGGGCAGTGGGTTGTTAGTCCACTCAGTCAAGAACACAGTATTAGAAGGGGCCCATCCCTCTCCACCCTTACCCCCCCCCCCAACCGAAGTGAGGTATTTCACATTTCACACCTGGGTTGGGTGAGGAAAGTCGTGTTCCCAAGGATATTATGTCTAGCCAACTAGCTACTCGGCCATTCGACGCCACCAGGGTCATTTTCCGTATTCAAATAGCGTGTTTTTACCCTAACATGTAGTTAGGGTAAAAACACCCATCAACTTCGCTATTTGAATACGGAAAATGACCTAGTCTGTTTGGTGTTTGTTCTGTACTTGTACATAGTTGTTACATGTTATGTAAGTATGTTACATGTACTGCAATAAGTTTTCCAGGGACCCACTATAAGGCAGTACAATGACATTGAGATGGGCCACTCTGGGTGAATAAAATAGACTCGTAGTTTTTGGTGTTTAGCAGTTTGTCGTACGTTGTTTCCATAATACAATTGTTGTGCAATAAAGGTGATTGATCGGATGAACTCAAGTTGAGTAAAAGACATTTAACTGAGTTGCATCACGGGACCGAATCACTCGAACCTAGCGTCGCCAGAACGTACTGCACCTGTATTTTGCACTGCACTTCCCGTCGACGGCCAACATCCCGTCTGTAGTTTCCAAATGTAATGTCGGAAAAAATATAGAATTTTGACCAAAAATCCAACTCGGCGAAAATCACGAACAAATATGGTTTTGCGCAGGCGTATTACGTTCTGCCGACGTGCTCTTGAACCTGGGATCACATCGGTAGAACGTACTGCGCCTGCGCGAAATCACTGTTTTTGTTGGACGTTTGAAGTTTGCCTGTGCAGAATTATATATTTCCACTCTCGCCAAGATGATCGATTAAGGATTGGGTGGAAAAGACCTCGGCGAGCTAGTGTCGAGTGTCTGCTCCCTGTCATACATGCGACTCTCACCGTGAGTGTGGGGTGGCGGGGGGGGGGATTTATTTTCGTCCCGCTCATTTCCGTCCAGCTTTCTCCTTTCTTGCGTCCTCTACCCTAAAGACAGTCTTGGTACTGAGCATTATGGTCGACTTGGGGTTATTCCCTACCCCTGCCTTTAATACTGGCCTTGACTAAACACACGCGACCTATACCCGAGGACCTATCTCTAGCTGTTGCTCTTTTCCTCTTCCTCGTCCACCCCTCTACTACTTAGTACCTCGACCTGGCGGCTCATCCTCGTACCTCCCGACGTAACGTTTCACCCGCCAGTGCTTGCGGCATCGATGGCCATTTGGCGTGGGCCTCCCATGACGCTGCCGGTCAAGAACTTGAATTTCCCCGCCTACCCTTAAAGAAACCATCAATGTGTCTACATCATCTACATATATTTCCACTCTCGCCAAGATGATCGATTAAGGATTGGGTGGAAAAGACCTCGGCTACGCTACAGTGATCGGTTGCCTTTGTCATAGGCTCACTCTCAAACCTCTTCCTCATTACTGTAGTCCTGAGCCCTCACTCGCAACAAGCTTGCCAGCAGTTCTTGTACTACTGGCCGTGGTCCGTAAAGGAGCGGGGCCCTTCCAGACCCATACTGGATAGCCGACACCTTCTCTTCCCAGAGCCTCAGTGGATCAAGGGCTACTTGCGCCAGCTCCAAACTGGGATGATGACGTATACGTGATGCTGGTATCATGCATACACACGTTTCGCACTTCAATCTCTCATCCTCAAGTGTATCTCGGGTACCACTAGCCGAAGCTGTGAGGTGGCGGCAAACCTATTGGGGAAAGCACGCACGGTCCACGAGTTAGGGCTTAGCCAGCCATAAAATGCCAAAACTAGGTAGCTATCTCAAATACATACAACCGAAAAATTGTACTACTCAAAGCGCCTTCCTATGCGTTTACGGTACGCATCTCCATACGACGTACAAAACAAAGAAAAATGACCAATTGCAAGGCCAAACCAAAAGGTCAATGGCTAAAGGAAGACGACCGAAAACTGTCCCACCGTCTCCCCTCCTGCTATAGATAGCCTTTATGGAAGACGACCGAAAACTGTCCTACTGCCACCCTCTGTTATCGGTTGTCGCTATGAAAGACGACCGAAAGCTGCTCTACTGCCTCTCCTCCTGCTGTCGGTAGTCGCCAAGTGACCAAAAGACGATCAGAAGACTACCGAAATCTGCCCTCCATCTCAACCCCCCTTGAGGTTGTCGGAAACCTCCACGCATAGGGAGAGCGAAACTATTCAGTTTCCCATCTAACTCGAGATTGTCCAACAACCTCTATCCCGGGGAAAGCGATAAACCATAAAACTGTCCAACAGTTTTCCGCAATAAATTTTGAGACTGTCCGACAGCCTCTACCACTACTGATACCTGACCCTGACCTTCAAACCTCTATGCACCGGCAAAGCGATATGCCATGCGTAAAACCGTCTAACAGTTTTACGCACCAAATTCTGAGACTGTCCGACAGTCCCTACCACCTCTGATACACGAAACTGTCCTACAGTTTCTCGCTTCGAGACTGTCCGACAATCTCAGAGAAGCTCCGCCAACACCAAAAGGAAACTAACAAGAATTGTCCCACAGTCTTTCCCCGAAATAGGCCTCAGGTTGTTCCACTATCAGCCCGATGCCAATCCGTTGATTATCCGACAATCTAGCAAACGCAGGGCCAAACGGAAAAATGACCAAAATTTCACAAACTTTTCCTTCCGAGGAAACGAGCCATCAACGCTAAAAACACCCGAAAGGGGAAAAATACGAGACTGAAAGAAGTGTGAAACGCTCCGAGGTACACACACGTGATTCCGGGGCGGACACACGCAAAATAAGGTCGTAAAATGACTCCTACGGCGTCTCTGCGTTCCGTGCCGTGACTCCCTGCGATGGCCAGTGCCGACAACGCGGAACTGGATCCCGAGAGAACTGTCACTATCCACTCGTGGTCAGCGTTGTACTCGCGTTCGGGGTCGCTACAGTGTTCCTCCGGGAGTCTGCAACTGTGAAATAGAAAACACGTTACCCAGAGGAAGAGGGATAGCACACGTACTTATCTACCGAGGCATGCACGTGCGCTGCCACGTCGACAAATCTTTATCTAGCCTGCGCTCCAAAATACCACCAGACAAACCTGTTTCCTCAAGACACTACCACAACAGTACCTTCTAAACCAGGTAACCAACGCGGGAATTCTCCATGGAACCAGAATAATGCCGCCACCGCTGGAATCACAGAAAAATGGCCAGATCAACCGGAGCTAAACCACACGCTACCTTCCCTGGGGCTGGCTTCACAAAACTGATGAAGTATGAGGGGTTGGTCACATGGCCTGACATCTCGCTCAACAAGAGTCTCGCGAGATGTCAGTCCATTGTGACGTAAGTGGGAATATGATGTATTTTTCCGACACAACGTTTCGAAACTAAAGATGGTATGTCAGTCTTAAATACGACCTTACACAATACGTTATGTAGAAGTGGTATGTACGTTACGTTTCGGGTTTCGCGCAGGCGCAGTACGTTCTACCGACGTGCTCCCTGGTACATACCTGATGAAGCGTGACGTAAGAGCCGTCCACGTGCGTGTGACGTAAGCACCACGATAGCTCATTGGTCCCCAGGTGTTCGTCGCGGGGGGTCATCCGGAGAGCCACTCCCACCGAGTAAGACATACTGTCCCTCACTGATACCTGATATGAAATGAATGGTTTATTATTATCGCTATGATCTGTATCTGTATAGCCGGTATAACCGCCTTTCGGCGTAACACACCAGCTCCACAGGCACGCGGCGCGGCGGCAGCTGGCTATATTACACCGATCGACTTGCTAGACCTAACCCTTAAACTTCTAACTCTAAACATTGTTTAAAGCTATCTAATGACAATGTCCCTACTGTACTTGGTGACAGCGAGTTCCACTCTGCGATAGTTATAGGAAAGAATGAATTCTTGAACACCTCAATCCCAGTGTCAATCCTTGGTTGATAACTCTGATACTTGAAGGCGTGACTATTTCTTGTTCTCTTCTGGGAACAGTTATTAAAAGCATATCACAGCCAATATTGCATACTTTGTCTACAGATAATATAAAGCTAACTATTGCCCTTTTAGATATTTAAAAATCATCCTTTGTACAACGACGAACTGTATGTCGATCTTTTGAGTTACCAGACAATGAACCAATTTATCAAACCCAGTGTTGTCTCTTTGTTTGCATGCTGTTTCTGACATTGTGCACGTATTGTAAACATATAAAGGATTCCATTATTGCATACGACTGAAAATTTTACCTATATAGAGGCTTTAAGAAAGAAAGAAAAAATATTTCAAGAAGACAAAAAACTGTTTTTTGAAATTCTTGTTACCTCGAAGTAGTGTTTTCCGACCTCTGGGAAGGGGGTGTCTCCCAAGACGGAGTAACTCGCACCGTTGAACCGTTCGCACACGCTCGGGCTCCTGATGTAGTGGTCCTCACTGTCTTCAAACGCCACCGTGCGGTTCCGGTTGGAAAGGCACAAGTAGCTGTGGGCCGTCACAGGTCTAAACCGGAAGTCAAACCCTGTAATAACACAAAGGTTGGAAAGATCACTGAATATAAGTTAGAATCGATTGAGTATACTGTTTTTATACGTTCTCGTATCAGACGTTGAGTGTTGGCATGGGCTACAACTACAATAATGTTGAGTATTTCAAAGTCATTTTTAAACACTTAGCTCACTGTTGCTAAGGTTTTGCATTCTACCAAATTAATATTTCTGTATTTTATATACTGTAATCCCTACCTTTTAAGCAATGCGTTCCCAGGCATATACAGACATTTCATGTACAAAATTAGGAAATTTTGACTTATATCTTATCCCCCTTATATCTTTATTCAAATCAATAAAACCTGTAAATTAAACATACGTATATCATGAACTATTCTTTCATATTAGGAAGACACGAGTATAAGAAAAATGTCACAAGGGCCAGAGTGTCAAAGACTGGGTAAATTTATATTGATGATTTTCGTCGTTGGGCTTTTCGACTTCTTTCTCTCTATCCTATCTTTATCTATGCTATCAAACACATCATGATCATATCCATACAATGTAATGCTTTAAGCAAAGCCCCTGTTAAACATTCAAAACTTTCCGCCCGAACACCAGCCGACCATGGTTGACTAGGTCTGACCAGGTTTTATACGAATTGAATCGAATTCGAGTTAAATTTGAGTCAAATCTGACTCCCTAACACCGAAAAATTTTGAGTAAAAAAAATCGGGTCATGTGTCACGCAAATATCACCACAAAAAGACGCTTTACCCGGCCGGTAGGGTTAGAGTTAGCGTCAAATGATCAAGTGGCTTCGCTACCAGACACGAGATAAAGAAGTCGCTGGTATTTTAGCTAGATATTGTGGATAGGAAGATAAAATCCGAAAAATCCTTGGGAAAGGCAGGTGTAAAATGGGTACATGACTTCGGTTGGGGAGGTACAAGGCGGCAGATGGGGATAGAGGGATGGGCTCTGCCTTTTACTACCATACCCCAGACACAGTTGGAAAACAACTGCCCTTACGGTCTTTTTTTTTTTACCCCGTTAAGGTTTTCGCGTCTTAAGCGGGATTGTTTTTTTTTAACGGTGTCGCTCAATGCAAGGCCATCGGCCACTTCTAGGCATAGAGCTAGAGGTATAGAACTGTAACAGCAACTCATCTCCCTGAGTCAGAAACATCCTCACAAGTAGTGAGGACTAACTGACCCACTAAAAGAGGCTTGATAACCTATGATGGACTTTGTAAGCTAAGATCATAGCATTTTTACTCCACTAATCAAGTCACCGTATTCTACCAAAACATCGGGGATTTTTTTTTGTAAAGTAGATCGGCTTAAAGCTATAATACGTCTATAATTAACCCTGGCGGTTATTTTGTTTACTTATGGTCGTCAACCTACTGGGCCTGTTTGTACTACGTAAATATTTCAGTACGTATTCCCCCACGTCATTTATAACGTTTCACTGATACGCTATTACTGAGTCCTATTCTAGTGCGTGCCGACAGCACGTTCTGTGCGATTGTTCCCTCCCAGTGCAGGTAAGAGCGGTGCTGACAGAGGTGGTCACGGTTGGCTGGGCGAATTGTGCCCTTGTGTATCGGGGTAGGTCAGGGAATGTGCTACGCTATTTAAGCTGCTTAGTGTGAGGGACAAAACCTGTGCTTGGAGACACAACCCGCATTATGAGACCCCAGAAACCTGAATGAGTGCACTTAAGAAGGCTTTAATCTGCCTAATCTGTCACGAGAGGTGTTTCTATAGGCTCAGGGTGTCGAATCGTTCGCGGTCCTGACAGTACATAGATACAGGGTGTGACCTGCTTTTTACCGATACAATTGGCAGAGAAAAATATGTCGGCGCTGCACCCTACACGCGACAAATTTGACAATTTTACAGATACTTTCACGGTCGATGTTCAGGGGAACTTGCACTTCTTGTTCCGCCGCTCAGAACCTTTCAGCGTGCCACTAGGTTCTCTTCCAGTTCTCATCAATACACCGTTAACATACCTGTCTCCCAGTCATTTTACAACAACAGCTTCTTTCCCCGGACTGCAAAATTATGGAACTCTCTTCCAAACAGATGCTTTCCGTCCGACTACAATCCACAAAGCTTCAAAACAAAGGTCCACCGCCATCTCCTGACATAACTACATTATACTCACTTAAGTACCTCAAGCTCTATGCCTAGAAGTGGCCAAAAATAATTGGCCTTGCATTGAGCGACACCGTTAAATAACATTCATAATGATAATGATCCGGTGCTAGCTCATGCTCTGTAGCTGTGAACGTTTCAACTACTAAAATGTCGGTGATACATGGCCAGTGACACACAATACGAAAACAGTTGATACATTTCCGCTCAATACTAACAATGTTTTCTATGTCTGTTCCTGTGTGCGTCGTGACGTTTGTGAGCTTTGTTTTGTGCTATGTCGCTGAAATGCTTTCGCGTATTTCCCTTTATAGTTCTGCGTTGTACCGTACAATAGGCAGGAGGATAACGAAGCAGAGAGCAGCCGGGGGAAAGTCATGTCTTTGTCATTGATTCTCATCCCTGACTGAACGTGAAGAGAGGAAAGCGGCGACCCTTCAGTCACCTTTCACGTTGATCACACAGGGCAGCGAGCAACATAAATACCAGCGTGTTTTCATAGCCTCCACCAGACGTTCCTAAAGCCCCTGAACCCAGAACCTTCCCTAGAAGCACCAACCAACCAAGGTCGGCTGAAGTTCGTCCGACCAGTTTTTCAAAGTTCTCCACGCCCCTCTTTGCGACTCAAATCACATTTGAGTTAACTGTGAGTCAAATTTGACCCTATCCCAATCACGCCGGGAACACTGCCGACCTACTCCCGAACATTAGCCAACCACCAGCCAACCATGGCACACCCATGGTACACTGTCCACACCCAAATGTTTCAACATTTTGAAACATTCCGCAGGCACAGACGAGCAGTTTCTGACCTCGCCGAACACAGGCCAACCACAGCCGATCTCTCTCCTGAACAACTCCTAAGCAATATTGCCGGGGTCGTGTGGCGTAGCGGCAGAGTGCGCGACTCGAACTAAGAGTCCCGGGTTCGAGTCCTGACATGCCACCGATCTTATGCCCTTGGGAAAGGCACTTTACACGACTTTCCTCACTTCGCTCAGGTGTAATTGAGTATTGTCCTGTCATGTATTTGTCCCGTGTTGGTGGCGGCATTAATATAAGTTGAAAAAAAAAACTTCAGTGTGTCGTCACCACGTCTGGTGATTACATGTTGGAATGAAAAAAATATTGCCGGAGAGTTCGGCTGGTGTTCGGGAGGCCATATTCCGCTATTTGAATTTGTGACAGGGGCTTAAGAGATTTTGGGATGATAGAATTCGGATAGAATTTATGAGTGGATAATTTGCCAGGAGAGTGAGCGGCGATAGGGGTAACATTTCCTAACTGTGCGGGTAAAGACCCTATTACACATTCACGAATTTGGCCTGCCGAGCACTGGCCGAAAGTCCCCAAGATTTGATAGAACTACGTCAGAGCAAAGGCAGCTACATGTAGGTCGTCTGGTGTTCGGCGACTTCGGCTACTATCCGGCTGCGCCAGCTAAATGTTTTAAATAATAACCTTTATTGTACATTCATGCCCTATCGGGCTAAGTACAGGTGAACAGATGAAATGGGTAATATACATGTTTGTAGTACAAATAGCTCTAAAACTACTCTAATACAGAGGTTCGGCTTCTTCTCTTTTCTTTGTGATGTTAAAAATATAATTTGAAATGGGTTTGTATAATACAGGATGATCAAAGCGCATAAGAAAGATATATTTTTCAACATTATGTTTCATTGGGGGGTTGGTCAGGAGATTCGACCATGATTGGCTGGTAGTCGACTGTAAGTCATCAGAAAACCAGCCAACCATTTGCAAGTTAGTCTGTACAGTATTTGGGGAGTGTTTGAAGTTAAACGTGACTCAAATCTAACTCAAATTCGTTTTGATTCGTATAGAAAGGTCACAGTGCTGCCGGACGTCAGCCGAACCTGGTCAGCTGGTGTTCGGGATCAAGGTCGGGAGAAGGTGGTGAATGTGTGACAGGGGCTTTAATGAACTCTCCTGGCAAATCATTCTTTACTTGGAGATCACCGCAATTTTTTTTCAACAAATGCTCCTGCAGTTTCAGAACAAGGCGCTAGGGGACCCAAACTCATGTCACTTCTTCCCTACCCCAAGAGCTATCTACCAACTAAAATTCGTGACCGTAGCATGTCCAGAACATGAGATATGAAAACCGGACGTTCAGCTGCAGTACCTAGGAAAGCCACCAGGGGGCCTAAAATCTAATCATTTCTAGGTCTCATGAAGACCTACCCACCTACCAAGTTTCATTCCAATCCATTCACTGCTTCCCGAGTTATCTTGCTAAACCACACACACACACAAACACACACACCCACACACACACACAAACGCTACTGAAAACATAACCTTCTTGGCGAAGGTAACTACATTGTCGAAAACATGTGAGAAATCTTGCCAACACCTTTACCATCATGTAACAAGAAACTATTCTTCTTTTAACTTCTCAAAATCAACACATTTTGGAAAAGGTGGGACATTACGTCGTCCATGGTTTACAGAAGAGAAGTCAAACCCTACAGACACAGTTTTAGACATAGTTATAGTTCTAGACAGCTACCTTTATCATGTAGACTTTAGTTATTGTATACTCTATTTCATTGTTCTTTTATGTTTTGTAATTTGCAATTAGCCTCCGGGCAAGAATTTGCAATAAACTTTTCATGATGTAATCCCCCCTCCCCCGGAACGTGCGGTAACCCATAGCAACACTTACACGCCATGCCTCACTGCACATGACACGGGCAATGTACAGTAGATAAAATCTCCGCAGGTAACCAAAGGTGAAAAGAAACATGTGGATCTGAAGTACCTCCCAAACCTCCGGTGGGTCCAAGTATGGTTTACATTGCCCCGTGCTTAGTTATACTTCAAACACTCGACTCGCTGCACGGTAGCAACCTGTTATATTACTTGACGTACGTTTGGTTTCTTGTGTAAAAAAGCTAGCGCCAGTTCTTTATACTTGGCACAATGAAAGGCCATGTACACAGCGTTATCGCTGTTTATATTGCGGAGTGCTGTTTGCACGGCAACAAGTAATTAATGGCGATACAGGCGGGTACACACAGGAATCATGCGAGGCAGAGGGGCTGTTGTAACCAAACCTGTGCTTTATCCAGAACCTTGATTCAGAACCATGATTCTGGTACAGTTCTGGATAATCCACGCGTATCCAGAACCGTGTCTGTGGCAAATTGTACGTTCTTGGATACGTGGAGACTATCCAGAAGCGTGCCTGACTCGTACCCTAACCCACCCAGACATAGAACCAGATAGGCACTGTTCTGCATGCCGTACGAAAACCCACATACAGGAACAGTCACTGTGTTTTCTTGGTTGAAAGGCCTGTGTTTTAATGGCATGTTTGACATGTAACGGCCGTAATATCATGTCACTTTGTCTCCATGTGTCACGCAGCAGCCAATATAAACAAGGTTCTAGACCGATATTCCTATAAACACTGCCAATAGTATCAAGTTCTCGTCTTCTCGCATGTCCTACTGTTTCTATTAAAGACAGGGTCAAAACAACAAACACAGAGAGAAAGTTGAGTGTGTGAAGCTGTGCTTTCAGGCTATAAGCGAATGCGTACTTTTCTACACCAGTGTTAAAATAAGCTACGAGAGACTTTCTCATACCAGTGTTAAAATCATCCAAGAAATATAATTATGACTTCAACAGGAACATTTGCAGTTTTGAGTACGTCAGATTTAGTACATTTGAGAAGAATCTATGAGATGTTATTCTGTGTATACTTACTGATATATAAACCTTTTAACCATTTTGTAGATTTTAAACACACTTGCTCTTTATACTGTTTCAAATTTGGGTATATCTATACTTCCAGTGCCTTGCGTAGCCTAGCAACCAACATTATTCTACTATTCAAAGATCAAGAGGGGGCTGAGGAGAGTACATACCTGGCAGTTTTGTCGGTGGTAACCGTATAGTCAGTTCTGACAGTTCCTCTTTCTTCTTGTACAAGATCGTCAGTAGATCGTCCCTTTTACATTTCTTCAACAGAGCCTCCAGTAGACTCATGTTCTTCTCGCTCAGCAAGCCCTTGGACTTGAGGATCCTGAAGAGAAGTTCGGGTGTCTGTGCGGACTGGAGGTCCCGTGAGCTGAGGTACCCTCGGCACATGTGGCACATGATCCCGAAGTCTGTCTCTGTCGTCATGCCGGCGATCTGGTCCAGGATTTGCCGGAAGAGTCTGACCCGAGGGTTGGCCGAGGCTGTCCGAGGGCGAGGCGGCATGGCGCGTTTAGTCGTACCGAGGTCTTATAAAATTGAATATAACGTCCTAGTTTAACTGTGAGACACTCGGGAAGTCTTTGAAGTGCACAGACACTAAACTAATTTTTCAGATTTAAAACTTGGTTCGGAAAGAAACAGACACAGCACGTCGTCAGAAAAGGAAAATCACCACCATTTGTGTTTCGCGAACGAGAATCTTCAAACAAGTCACCAGAACTTCTCTAAGAACTGACGTCTTGGTGTTGGGAGGATGAATGTGTTTATATCACCTCCTGCTGCTGAATCAAACGAGAGGTAATGGAATTCCTTGCCGACAATAGAAAGTGCCTGTCTTATGTTACCAACACGGGGTCCATGTTAGCAAGCAGCAACTCAAACTTGCTTCTTGTGAACCCTTGAGACACAGAAGGAGTTCTGTAACCGCCTGGTCAAAGACGTCTCGCGTTCAGCTTGAGTCGTGCTCGTGAGGTGAACGTCTTTCCCACCTGACGACATCTTTCAGACCATCACACCTGTCAACACCTGTACGTCCCGGCTGTCGCTCGCCCGTCCGGCCGGCCGGGGCGATAATAAGTACGGCTTACCTTCAAGTGCCGCACGGTACTCTGCCCGGCAACGCCGGTATCCAGGGACTTTGACCAAAGCTTGTTGTAAAGAACGTTACCTATTAGCAGTGCGCCACCTGTGCTACTCTGCCTGTTTGTGGTAGTCACACACCACTGCCGCGCCGTCTCTTTTTTCTCCCGTCCTTAGTAACAGGCCCGCCCCTTGATGGCTAGCATTACACCGGGAAACAATAGGGGAGGGGGGCACGGTGGATACTGTTTCTGTACCCTTAGCGGGTGGCACAGATCGCTCCACCTGACTTCTAAATAACCAGAACACGCGTGTCTTAGGAATGGAAGCGGGGTTTGGGTTTATTCTGGGGTTTGCGCCGGAAAATTGGGTCATGGAACAGTAGTTGACAGTTCCATCTAGGATCGCAAGGGGCGCTTCCATAGTGACAGCACCGTTAGCAGAGAGAGTAAGGGGTTATGTGTACAAAAGGGGCAAAGAGGGCAGGTTGTTTATTTTCTGCATGAAAGTGACTCGTTTTGTTTCGGTAAGATCACAACACCTTGTTGAATTATTGGTGTTTGTTGGTATAGGACGAAATCTTGAGTATATTTTTCTGTGTTTGTGTGTGTCTGTGGGTGGGTGAGGGGGTAGAGTTAAGGTTAGGGCAACTTCTGATTTTGGTATCAAAAATGTGGTCCACATAAAAACCACACACTTACATTAACACTTGCATTAAACAAATGCAATCATTAGACTCAGCCCAGTCCATTTATTCAGACTTGAACACTATAATCAAGACGGTAACAGAAGAGTCGCCATTGAAAGGAACTCCCTCTTTCCTCACTTCGCTCCGGTGAAAATGAGTATTGTCTTGTCATGTATTTGTCCCCTGTGTTGGCGACGGCATTAATCAGAGTTGGAAAAACTTGAGTGTGCCGTCACCACGTCTGGTGATTACATGTTGGAATAAAAAAAAATAACTCTCTCGTCTACCGATGTAGGTATCACAGATACTTGTAATATGATAGAATCATGTAAAGGTCAAGTTTTCTATTTGACGGCTTCCCTCAACCTTTCGGGAGTCAGAGAAAGACTCATTTGGCGTCAGAACTTCCCACTGTAGCCACCAGAGTCCTTCAGCAGCGGTGCCAGACCGGGTCAGCAGCCTACAGTTTAATACCCACGCACCAAAAACTCTCCAAATGTCAGATAAAGGACACAGGAAGTCACTCGTCTCACAACATTTCCCCGCGGAAGATTAGAACTTTCTTTCCGCGCTGATATTAAAATTGGAGCTGGAGCATATTTTCCCCTCCTTGTTGTCGGTGAAACCAAACATTCTTCTCTGTAATTGAGCCGATGCCTCATTGAAGCTCCGTTTATTGCCAACCCCGCGCAGTTTAAAGTCGTAAGAAGCGCTCCGATGATAGCTTTTATTTCTTGCTGGAGACAGCTTGTCGCCAGGCTGCGGCGGGCGGATTAAAGCGGGCCTTCGGGCGTTTTGTCTCACCCCGCACGATTGAGTAAATGCCATTGCTAGAACATTGATAGATTACTGTTTCATACAATCAAACGCAATGCGTGTTTAAGTCTTTCCCGGTTACCCCGATAAGACCACGGTTTATTGGCTGGAAAAGTTCCTTCTTAAGGTATCAAGACGCCATCTTGACAAGAGTTTATTGGAAAGAGAAGACACATGACCTCATAAGTGAAAGTACAAGTATTACTCATCTCAGGTAATTGTGATAGATGATAGCCTACAAGAAGGCGGATTTTCAGCACGAAAGGATACAAATGAATCAGCTTGAAAAACTTGAGTGTGCCGTCACCACGTCTTGTGATTACATGTTGGAAATTATAAGAAATAAATCAACTCTTGAAAAAAATCACTTTCTCCACAATCAAACCAGCAAGGCCTTTTTTTCTAGAAGAAACACGTAGGTATACAAACGAACAAACAAACAAACAAACAAACAAATAAACAAACAGACAAGCAAGTAAACTGACTGCCCCCACCACAACACTTCCTACTAACTCCAGGACGGATTTCCCATACTTAAGAAATGGTACGTAACGTATGTCAAGTTGAATCAGTGAGTTAAAAAGGCCTCCATATAATTGAGGATTTCATATAATACTAAGCAGTTACCATGATGGCTAAAAGGCAGAACGCGAAGTTGTATGAATTATATCTGTATAAACGTTTAATATCAAAACGTTGGTCAAGTGGACATTTGAATTTCCATTCATGTACGTTGAACCAAACGCAATATTAAAAACGGTGCCTTTGATTTACATTTTTGTCAAACATTAATTGAAATAAGAAATGGAGAAAAAAGTAATGAAGTCAAGTATGTTTTTCACAACCACATTTTCCCACAACTTTTCAATTGGTTTCAGTTGCCTTCATCGGGGTGTAGTAAACTCTGCTACTCTTTAATATATGTACAGGTACATGTATCATTTCTGCAAGCTTTATAAAAAACTCAATGTTATTTACTCACAACCATTTGTTTACAAGAGACGAAGTTTCGATAACCGTCTGTCATCTTCATCAGGGTAATTCAGAAGGGGAGAGCTGGTTTATAAGTCCTCGGTTTTTGATTGATACTTGTTTGTTTGTTTGTTTGCTTGTTTAATAATTTTTTTGCACACAAATGACAGAACAAGCCAATTTGAAGTTAATTACAGTGTATAAGGTTTTTCGTGGGTTAAATGCTATTAATTACATAAAAACGTATGGTAGTTACAGATAATGGAGATAAGATGGAACAAAAGTGGCAAAAATAAAATTATTGTAGATGTACGACAAAAGAAGGAAAACTTACAGACTAACTAGCAAACAAAATCAAATCTAACTAAACGAATGGCATATCAAATTTAACAGAAAGCAAAGAAAATCAAATTGCACACTGTTTGACCTTAGCTGGTGAATGTTTCCAGTTCTGGACTGTACGAAAACCATCAGACCTGCAGCCGGCTGAGAGGTGATCCCAGCGCCGGTAACCGTCCGGATCTTCCCGTCGATGATTTGCTGGAAGTCAGCTATTACCGTACTTACTCCAAGATTGATGTCGAGGCGTCGCCTAGCAACGCCACCCAAGGCTTATCATCCCCACAGAATCCTCCACACAGTCTTTTCAACACATCGACCCGGGAAAACAGTTTCCGCACTTCAGCGGGCGCAGTGATAGATAGCCTGCCGGAGAAAAGCGGTGTTTGATGTTTTACTAGTTGGTTGAACTACCCTGGCCCCTCCGGTGTCAGTATTGCAAACCGGTGGAAAATTGTTTTGCAATAATATGAATACATTGATATTGAAAACAATTATTTACCACCGTGTCCAAAATGCTCCCTTACTTCCCGACCATTCCCCAACACACACAAAAAAAAAACAATTTTACTACTAATTGAGAAGAACCTACATATTATAGAAGAAGTGGGTAAATTCGTCTTCCATTGTCTAAAAAGAAGAAGTCAAACCCAGTAAAACTAGTACCATGTATGTTGTAGAATATAGTATAATGTTAGAAGTAGATATAGTCTCACATGCCACTGTACTTATGTTGTTTGTAACTGCAATTAGCCCTCGGGCAAGTATTTGCAATCAACTTTCTATTATATTAAATCTAGATAGAATAGAAGATGAACACCATTTTGTAGTAGACTGTAGCTTATACAACAAAGAGGGAGTTTGTGAGTGATATAACGTATGTTTCCCTACCTCATCAACCTACGTATTACAGACAAATTCAAATTTCTAACGCTTTTAGACAAAACTTTGCAATTAATGTTACCTCGTACTTCCCCCGTCACTATTCTAACGGACAACACGTCATATACACGGTTCAACGAACCAGAAAAAAAATGATATAAGGAATCAGTATCAATCCATAGAATGGAGCAAATTTGATTATTTTATTAGCACATTGAGCATTTTATTAGGAATACATGATAATAAAAATTGTGCTGAGATCTTAAATTTAATGTCTTATCTCCACCATGTTAATAATTTCCCAATAGGAGAACTAATAGGAGAAATTATATTATTATATCATCTATAGTAATTAAAGTCTAATTAATGAAAAATAAGAAAGTTCCTATATCTACTTCCGTCAATTTTTTCACTATATTAGCGGAACTCAGTTATGTTAAGAATATCCCTCAACACTTGACAACTGTAACACATCTTTCAAAGCATGTTCGCGCCATTTCAGCAAATGTCCTCATACAGCCGTCAGCGTTTCACTGCCAAGCATCTGTCTGTGCTGCCCTGTGTGTCTGTGTGTCGCTGTTCTGCTGAGAGACCGTTCCATCAGGACTAATGACTACTCACGGTGGATACATTAATATTCCGGGCTGCCACGTTCTAATAACCTCCTTTACCCAGAGTTCCGTGGTAGAGTCGACCCCAAACGGAAAAGCGTTTAGTGTGTGCGTGTTGGCGCGGGAGTGTGCACTTAGATGTAGTGATGTGAACGCCGAAACTGATAGTTACATCGCGGGGCAAAACGCTGTGCTGCAGCTCGACGTCATTATTACAAGAACTCCATTCGTTCGACGAACGATTACTCTGAGTTGAGTTGCTCGCGGATGTGGAGCTGATAACACAGAGTCGTCAGCAGGCCGTGTTCAGGATGGCTGCCGGACTTTTTGTTGTGATGCTGTCGGTTGTCTGGACCGTTTCCAGCGGGGATCACACCGTGGACGTGCCGATCGGTGAGTCCGCAACATCACACTTCTCTACAGTCTATCTAATATTTCCGCTGAAGCACGAAGTGCCCCTGCAAAATTAGGCAAAACCGAGGTTTGCCGATGCCTAATTTTTGAACATACTCACGACTTCTCTACTATTGAACTATAACAAATATTTCTCGCACCGTTTCCGAGCTAGCACTAGCCTCTGTTACTGCAATCACTTTGGCAGTCTCTACGGGGATCGGCTCTTTCCCAATCAATGGTGACTCCGCTGTTCTCCGCCGCCTGACAGCAGGGGGTTGCCAAGTATGTTGTTGCTACTAGCGACACACCTTCTGACATACCGGTACTGGGTAGACAGGCGATACCACGTAATTACCACGTTTTACCACCCAGTAGAACGTTCTGGTGCAGCTGCACTATTCAGAATAATTCTCTTCTGAGTTCCGTTTCCAATCTTGAGTTTGCGTCTTGATAGCTGGCGATCAAGGTAGATTTTGGAGGGTCTTTTTATTGTCTTCTGCTCCACGCAGTCGACGTGAAATGAAGCCGCTCCGTGGACTATGTACCGCCGTGTCACACCCTCGTTATGCTGAGGTCACATTTCCAAACCGGGGCCCGGCCGGGCTGTTTCGATTAACGAAAAATCAGCTATGTACATCAATGATGTACGCAAATAGCTCCCATTATCAATTTTGTCTACGTTTTTGTGCTTTGTTTCATATGATACTCTTCTTTCCACAAGACTGCCCAGCCTGGCCCCAGTGTGGAAATGTGACCTCAGCATTAATAGACGGCGATCACTGAGCGACCGTCCAGCGACGAAAATTGGACTTGTGTGACCCTTGAGTTTATTAACGGACAACACAAAGGACTACAGCATGCACAAACATTTAAACAAAATTGTTTTTATGCATGGAATTTGCAAAACAAAATGGTCCCTTGGTCGCAGCCGTTTGTGCAAATTGTGTGTTCCACCCTGCTGCCTATGCCTGTGTCTGGGGACTGCTGGAGACCGTGCGCGTGCTTTTACGCTAACAGCGATCAGAGCCATAGCGGGCCGGCCTTTTAGGAAAGCGATTACTTCCGAGGACCGCAGTGCACATGGCACGCCGCACTGCTCACTCCGCATGCTGTCCCTCCTCACCCCGCCTGCTATCCCTCCTCACTCCGCCTGCTGTCCCTCCTCACCCCGCCTGCTGTCCCTCTTCACCCCGCCTGCTGTCCCTCCTGATCCTGCCTGCTGTCCCTCCTCACCCCGCCTGCTGTCCCTCCTCACCCCGCCTGCTGTCCCTCCTAACCCCGCCTGCTATCCCTCCTCACCCTGCCTGCTGTCCCTCCTCACCCCACCTGCTTTCCCCCCTCACCTCGCCTGCTGTCCCTCCTCACCCCGCCTGCTATCCCTCCTCACATTGTCACTACAGGCTGCGATCGCCTAGAGACCGCTGATGAGGGACCAACGATTTAACGTATAAAATAGCTGAATTTCAGAGATAAAAAAATGATTTATTACATTTTGCATCATACAAATGGTTTTGTTGTCTTACTTAAAATTTTACATCTTGCATCTTCTTCTGATTACAAAGTCAATGGTCACATAAATCCAAATGTCGGTCTCTGCACAGATGCGCATGATCGGCGGTTGGCTGGTGGAAGGGCCTTAATTCGAGACTGTGGCAGACAAATTGCCGTTCGTGTCCTGCCTCCATCTCCCGTCTAGTGCGGATATTAGGTCTTCCTTCCTCCGGGCACACAGTTAATAAAACTTTCTTCTGGGACCGTTCAGGTGACAAAAAGGGCCGGCTAAAGAGCTGTTTTCCCTGATCAACTGCCAGTCTTGTCACACAGCCGAATATGGCCTCCCGAACGCTGCCGAACTCTCCCCCACAAGCCATGGTAGGGAGTAGGTCGGTACTAAGGTCGGCTACGGTTGGCTGATGTTCGGCAAGGCCGGCTACTGTTCGGATGTGCCAGTCAAATGTTTCAAAACGTTTAAAATTCGGGAGTGGATTGGATGTTGGGTTATGATTGGGAACTGGTTGGCTGGTGGTCGGGAGTAGATCAGCAAAGGTCGGGCGTGTTTGGTAGTCACATTTGACTCATAGTTAACTCAAATTTGATTGATACGTATCGAAAGGTAGGTGTGGCTGAAATCTGGTCAGGCTGTTCCCAATCTACCTCCAACCTTGGTTGGTTGTTTTTCGGGAAAAGGTTCTTAATGTGTGACAGGGTTTAGAGTCTGTGCACAGAACGTAGTACCACGCGCTTACCATTTTAGGAGCTGCCTACATGCGCTATGCGTCGTAGATTTGAGAAGAAACGGGTGCAAACTAGAAAGGCCTCCAAAGCAAATGTAGCATGACTTCACCACATTTCACGATATGGCAGGGAAGGAGAAATACAAGGGAATACAATGCTTTATGTTGATATAAATATAGTCTGAAGTGACATATAACTAAGAATACAACAGTTTGATAGCTATCCCCTACATTATTGGTTAGAATTTATTTGAATAATGCAAACTGTTGATTTTCAAGATTAAAAAGCGTTTATGTCCCGCATTCCAATGCTTGAGAAGGAAAGTTTTGCATATCTACCCCCAAACACTTGAATGCAGTTCAATACTGTCAATATGGTATGGCTATGTGCAGCTGTAAATACAGTTAACCCAATTAGATCGCAACAGCCAATCAGCAAGACGAATAGAGGAAAAAAAGCTTAAGAAGAGGAGGAGAAGAAGAAACGTGAGGAAAAACAATATGACTTTACCACTATAGTGGTGAAGTCATAATTGAATATTGCAACTATATTAGGTACTACTTACGGCGATATCGTCGCAATGAAACATCGCAGGTGCATATGGACTGATTCATGTGACCCGTTTTCGTACGTCCCACGCGTTTTATTGACGTCATCATTGGATTGAAAAGTATTGTCGATACAAAATCGTCAGTTAACAAAGCATATGTTACGTTTTGAAAGGTATAATTCATTCAATCGTAATGTAGCTCTGCTTTGAATTGATGGAAACGTGTGGATTCATTTATATTAAACTTTAATAAGCATCTTAGCATGAAAGTTCATCTGTGTTGGTACAAGTCATTATGAAATAAAGACTAAGCTTTAACTTCCAACACTAGATACAGAATTGGGACTGACCCAAATTTTCGGTTGACTCCATCAACCTTTTTCACGGAATGGACCCGTCTACTCTTGGAACGTGACGTCAGAGACACGTGACCGTAGAAGGGGTCATACGTGCCAGATAACTTGTGTCGCCCCCCGTCTCTGTTCATCCTGTTTGATAAGCATCCTAGAGAGGCATGACCGCGTGCCAACGAATTAATTTTTGAAGACTCAGCTTGTCCAATATTGTTAATCATTTTCCATTTGTTGATCAATTCTTCCATCGTTCCACAGGCTGGATTGATCTGAGGATAATTAAACACATCAGCTCGCTCCGTTTAAGCAATACATCTTCCTTAATTAAGCCCCTGTCACGAATTTGGCCTCCCGAGCACCAGCCGAACGCCCCACAACCATGGTATAAAGGAGTAGGTCGGCGCAAAGTCGGCTGGTGTTCGGCGAATTCGCCTACTATTCGGCTACGCCAACCGACTGCTTAAAATTTTTCAAACATTCGGGGGCCTGTTTATGGTAGACCGGACCAAACAAAAAATAGTAACCCCTAAAGAGGGGCGCACAAAACGATAAGTTGACCGCTCTACCTGGTGAGACAACTATGTCATCCCAGCCAGGTAAGCACATATATTATTGATAATTCAAACTAAATTGAACTTTCTACGTTTTTGTTGGTCTTTTGTTGCATTTCGAATCATACGTTAACATCATAGATCAATTCTATGAAGTCAGACAAATCAAGTCGCTGAAAGGGACAAGTCACTCCCAAGTTGCCACTTCCACCGAAGCAAATCATTCTTCCTCCATGCACCACCTCCTAGGAGGAAGTTCCATGCTCAAAGCTTCTTTTCACTTTGGAATAAGCTACCCCGTAATTGCTTCCCCTATGAGTATAACCTTAAACTCTTCAAGTCTAAGGTCAACAAACATCTGTCCTCACTGGCTGTACTGTGACCCAAAACATTTTAATTGGCTCCCATGAGCCTTGTTTTGTGGTAACCGATAAAGTAAATAAAAAAAGGTCTCCATTCGGTAGAAAGTTGGCCTCAGGGGCGACTATCTTTAGTTTGTCTTGTGAACACTGGGTTCTTCCAAACGAGGTATCTAGTCCTATGCCTAAATGGTTTAAATTTAGGCCCGGGCACGGTTCTAGATAGTCTTCGCGTATCACGTTAGAACGTAGATTTGCCACAGGCACAGTTCTGTTTGCTATCCAGAACCGTTCCTCAGCATCGTTACTGATACAACATGGGGCAAAGACGTACTGAGCTTGACATCCCTTTCTCAAGCAGAAATGTCCTTGATTTAAACTCCAGGCGCCATCTTTGACCGGGTCCAGAGTGACGAAGAGAAAGCTGCCTTCACCTACGCGGTAGAACAGATCAACGCCGACAAGAGGATTCTTCCCCAGGCCCGGCTCATACCCCGGATGGAGACGGTTGAAAACGGTGACGGTCTGCTTGTAGTGGAGAAAGGTAAGCCACACCTGAAAGCCAGGCAAACATATGAGACCATCTTACTATTTAAATAGAGTCCCACGATCACATACCTTCGCCAAATGATGTCAATCTTTATGACTGACAAAGATGATTCCTCCTGATTATGCACAAAGGATCCTCATTTGCATGAATTATATCAGTTGATCATATTCTCCATCAAAAGACAGCCTTATCTTAACAAAGAAAGCCATGCTATCATTTCCTCATAAATTATGCAAATGAGGTCCTTATTTGAATAAGTTATGTTTAATAATGTTCACCTTCACTTAATTTAAAATTCAAATGCCCCAAGTATGAAATTCCAGGAAGTTAGCATTAAGGAATTATAACATTTGCTCATAAATTATGCAAATCCTGAAAGCGTAATTGTGGTAGAGTGGCAGGAAGGAAGGAACGGGAATTGGTTACCGCAGATTGAACTCAAGGTCAAGTTGGAAGGAAGTAATGGTTCCACCCACTCAAGTTACCCATTTGTTCTCAACAATACCCTATTAGCTCTGTTATAAGTACGATAGACCATCTCTTTGGTTGTGGTATGAATTCACAAAAGCTTGAAGCACCCTGAAGGTTGGAAATCACCCATTCCGTGAGATGAGAGAAAGCCGCCACATGTTGCACAGCTGACAGTTGGGACACTGCACACTGCGCCCTACGAATGCGTCCTCACACGGTGGTAAAATCTGGGTTGCAAAGTTCCCACATGCCATAGAACCCGAACTGTGTTCGATCGTGTTCGATCTGGGCAATTCGAATCGAACCCGCGTTCTATTTCGGGGTCACCTGCGGTCATTTACAATAAAGCGGCAAAACAAGCCTGTTTGCCTCCGTGCCGTGCAACAGATAAAAAACAACACTTTTCTATAGATAAAAACAGATTCCTGGACAGTACATGTCCGCTATCATTTTTTTGTTGACATGTAACATGTAGCGAAGCTACTGTCGTATCCTTGTGTGACCTTGAATACTGTAATGATTCTTTACGCCAGTATGAATAACACAATGCAGACTTTTGGTCGACATGACATGTCTGCAAAACTCGTTTTAACCTGCAAGCATGGAAAGTCAAGCATACCCCATTCACGGCTCAAAATGACCGTTATGGTTGTCCCGAAAATCGTGTTTTATGGATTTTTTAAAAATGGCCTCAATTTTGAATTATGGGTAATTTAGTGCGAAAAATGTAAAGAAAAATCATTTTTTCACCAATATGTCGACAAAAACTAGACTTAAAATCAGAAATTAAAAAATCCCTAAAACACGATTTTTGATCTTATTCCTAGTCCTCGAAAAATATAAAAATCGGGAATCTGGGGTAATATACGTAGCCAGGTTAAAACGATGTTTGCCTAAAAACATGACATGACTTGTGGTCGGAAATCCGAAAAAAATCGTCTTTCGGAGCGAAATTTTGAAAAATCAATAATTTAACATAAACAGCTAATATTGAAAGGATGTTAAGGCAATAATTTCATTTTAATTTTACGAAATTTACCATTAAATCCTTCTTGTATATTTTCAAGTGTTTTACTGGTAGGCCAAACTCGGCCCAAATAGCGTCTTGTAATCCGATACCTTTTAGAACGCGCCTAGCAATGGGAAAGAATACCGTAGTGACAGACCGCCGTGTCACGACGATTTGATGAAACCTGACCTTCCATATAATTTCTCATCATTTGCAAAGCACGCTTTGAAGGCGTTCGCCAATTGCCGAACGCACCTCTGTCGGCGGCGCCATATGCTGCGATAGCCTATTGGTTCTGCACTGATGCTTCCAATCTCACTCCGAGTACTCCCCTCCAGGCAACTACAAAATTTAGCCATAAATCAGAATTCAATTTCCAGCGTATCAATCAATCACACCACCCCGTAGCCTGTTGCGATGGGAAAGAATCGGTTCAATTTTCGATCCCAGATGACCCACGATCTTCGCGCCCGGAACATATTTGATGCATTAACAGTAATGTGAAGTGTGTGGGTTGGTGGCGGGCACTTTTAAACATTTCTTTTGACTATCACTTCTGTAAGCACATGGCAAATTGTGGTAATGCTGGTTCTTAAAACTTAGTACCAAGAATGGATCAAAGTCAGCCATTTATGGTATTTGTTGAAGTTATCACTATCGAATCCAAATCCATGCATATCTAGTTCTATGCCTGAATATATCAGGGTCAGGCATGGTTCTGTTCTGACTAGTCTCTGGGTATCCAAGAACGTAGAAACTGTTCTGTATACGTAAACATGTCTGAACATGATACTGGATGACTCTGGATACAACAGCTCACAGCTATGTCGTAACATTATAATAAGTCAAGATAGTATAGATTGTTTAAAACTACATATAATGAAGAAAAATACCTAAGTAATGAAAATGTGAAGATCAGAAATGCAGTCATCACAAGACTAAGAATAAGCTGCCACAAACTACAAATTGAAACTGGAAGACATACCCGCACCCCTCTGGAACAAAGGTTATGTACATGTTGTAATTTGAATAGAATAGAGGACGAATGCCACTTTGTTATAGAATGTAGATTATATAGTAAAGAGAGAAATGATCTGTATAGGTTTATACAATACCTCATTGATTTCCCTACTTCATACACTTGAGCACTGTAGAAAAATTCATATTCCTAATGCGACTTGACAAACCTTCCATAGAAAAACATATCTGTTTCTTTATCTCTATTATAACTAAAAAGCGAGAAGTTGAATTTATGTAATGATAACTAGTTTTATTTTGTATGTATCTTTTCATCATGTCTTGTTTTGACCTGTACTTAGCCCAGTGTGGCAAAAATGTGCAATAAAGGTCGTCATTCATTCATTCATTATATGCCACGAAGTTACGAACCACACACGTTAGTCAGATGCTAAAGAGACAAATTGAATGTATATTATGTATTACGTACTGCTTTGTGAGTAACCGGTGATGACCGGTGAGGAGCTTTTCAGTACCCTTACATCATCCCCTGACACAACCCTTACGCACTAAAGTGCTCTAAACGGAATCTCCGCTCTGCTTTATTGACATATTGACAGTGTTGATTGAGAAGGTTGTACCTGAGTCAAACAGATGGCCTTAGATGGCCACTGTGGTATCAGCACTCTTGTTTCATGGGTCCCAGTTCCACCAGACGGGGATGGCTTAGAAATTTTGACCCTTTGTATCATTTGGTCATAATTGGAATATACATAGATCTAGAGGTGTGCTTTAATAAGATAAAGCTACGACTACGATAATCTAACTTGGGCTGTGGCTCTTGCTTAGCACAACCTCACCACGGAAACTTTCAAAACATTATGACATTCGAAATAGAAGCAATAGAAACAACAGTACATCAGCAACATGCACATAAAATTATCTCTCGGTCAAATCAAAAATGTCTGCAAATACAAGGAAATGGAAGTGGATGACACATTGTGTA